CCACACCTACAAAGCGTTACGTAAGTATCGATTTTTCACAAGTATTAACATATTATGCAATACATTTACGAACAAACATCCATACATCCAAACTTCGCATTTATAATATTAGTAAGAATTAATATCAACTTACCATTCTCCACAGCTTCCCGCATCAATGACATGCACAGCAGATGTGGATCGCCAACTCCATCTCCAGGAATCCATAATCCTCCGAGTATATCTTCTACATTGAGCATTGGCCATATTTCTTGACATCGTTTCGGCGTCACTAGCTCACACGGAATACCCCAGGAACTGTTCCGAACAATGAATAATTTATTTTCCACGGCAGCACATTTTCAACTCCAATTTATTTAATTTTCTGACGACGATAGAAAAGCCTAACGTATTTCGTAGATAAAGGTGTACTGGTTATATTTTTTAAATAAATCTTTTGTGACATGACGTATTCACTGAACACCGTAGTCGCGACAGGGCGGCGCCCAATAATCTACACGGGTACAGCTAGCTGCCTAGAACCAGGGGCCGGTCCACCGCGCACATCATCTGCGCATCCAATCGATTCACCATAGACGCCCGTCTAAAATTACGCAGTTCTTTTGAAATGTATCTATCCTGTATAATTTCGTTATGCTTTAAAAAAAATGTTTTACTTTGATTTTATTATTGTATTTTATCATGCGTCATACTTATAAAAAATATTTAATTTTAACATAAAGTATACGACTTAATGAAAACCTAAATTATTTTACGATTTTTTAGTTATTTGGAATTTGCTTGAAACAAAGAGAATTTTTTTTTAAATAAGTTAGTTATCTAATGATGATGGTTTTTCAACTAGCAAATGTAGGTAGTTATAAATGGTTACTTAGTAACGTACTAAGATATGTTTTTTTTTATCCAAGAACCGTCATGTACCGATCCTTGGACCACTCTTTTTTGCACATATTCCTTATGCTAAATAAATGAATTAGCTAATAGAAATGATTAAAACCTATCAAATCTCTCTTTTTACATTTCGTTTCCGACCAATCGATGGAGGAGACGAACGTTCATCAGTAGACTAACTCGAGCTGATGGTGATGAATATGTTAAAAATGTGTATATAAGAGAAAGTTTGAAAGTAGCGCCAGTGATGGAGAAATGGAGGAGTAAAAGATTAGCGTGGTTTGGACATGTTATGCGGAGGGATGATGATGATATAAGCAAAAAACGAATGAGGTTAAATGTGGATGGCTACAAGGGTAGAGGAAGTCCAAAAAAGTATGGAATGACTGTGTGAAAGAGGATATGCGTAAGAAGGGGGTAGACTCGGATATGACGGCTGATAGAGATGTATGGAGGAGTAGTACATACTGCGCCGTCCCTCGATAGGGATAAGAGCAGGTTGATGATGATGATGATGATGATATATTATTATTGATATACATACACTGACTGACTTTTCATTCTTCTATAAACTGTCATCCTATCTCGAGTTCTTGCAAGCAGAAGTGAGCCACATTGCTTCCACCCAGTCGGTCTCCCACGCGCCTCCAAATCTTGCAATAGACGAATCGATGATTGAGCAAGCTTTACTTGAGCCAAGGACGGTTTGAAAGCACCAACCAGTCCCGAAGAATGCCATCGACTACCGGTGCCGACTCTGCACAAAATACATTGTATATTACAAATTTACTCCATTATTAAATAATACTACAAATAGAAATCCTGTTTGTTCTTATTGGACCATAATAATACAATTTTTTTTACATCGTGCATCAAATTGTCCAAAGACCAAAAATATTATCGCCTCTGGAATAGCCAACTATTGTCTCGCAATTAAAAAAAAATCTTTCAGTATCTTATCAAAATCTATTCCACAGTAGAGTTTTATTTGTTGGTTGCGTCCAATTATTTTTTAACCTTTTTTGCTCAATTCCATACTGGTTCACAATAATATAATAGTTAAAAGGCGGATTAGGACCCACACCAAATGCTTATCCAAACAGCATGTAAGAAGGACTAATTTTCTACTGATTAAAGTTACAGCTATTATGGATGTTTTCGTTTCAGGAATACATTGTAATGCTATATTAAACAAGATATGTTAACCTTTTTTGTGAATCACATTATCCACAACAAAGTGGGTCTTGGGCACAAAACCAGAAATCAAGAACCAACACAAGAGAGATCTCTTGTGTTGGTTTTATAACAATTGGTTTCTTCTGTGGTTGAGTTGTCGGCCATATTGCTAGAGGACCACACCCTACTTTGGGCAGTGAGTCCATTGGGCTTAGCCAAACATAATGTGGAATTTGAATATAGATTTATCTAATATGTTCTCAATTATTTTTTATCATGTTGGTGAAACAAAATATTTTAAATGTCTAATAATTGAGACATGGTTTATATTATAGGTATATCATATAAAAATTTAAGCAAGGAAGGTAAATGTTTTAAATGCTATATTTAAATCCATATTTTCAGTTTTGTTACACTTTATACATTTCATAAAATGTAAAATATATGAAGAAATATAAATAAATTAAATTGACTTACTTTTCTTTTTCTATAAGGATAGTCTTGTCTCCCCAGCCACGCCTCGCCAAATGGTAGGCAACAGCAGCCCCCATAACTCCGCCTCCACATATTACAACCTTCGCTTTCTTTGGTAAAGTCGATAAACACCCACTTAACGTCTCATGCTGATCTAAAACATCTCTACTGGATAACGATTTAGCTCCATACCCCACACTCCAATAACTCTTAATGCTACTCCGAAACCGGCCACTCAACATAATAAAACGTTACTGCGCAGATGTTTAGCGCTTACAGGAAAAATTGAAACACATCAATAAAATCTGGGGAATCTAAAAATATTTTTCACCCGATCCGAACGGTATTCATGTATTGATATTTGTTATGACTTTTGTTAGAAAGACAGCTTCCTTAATGTTGCTACATAGAAAAATATGTTAATGAATATGGCACATATGGCAATTTCTTATAGAAGTAATAATTAACAATTAATTATATTTCAACATCAAGTAAAATTACATTAGTATATAAATCAAAGAACGCTTTCCCCAGCCAGGATACAGCAACAATGTCCGGGAGAAATCCCGGCTGGTCCCGTCCATAGCAACCGAAAAACCTGACAAAAGTCTAAATTCAATGTTTCCATAGCGACTAAAATAGTATTATTCTTGGTATCATTTAATAAGGTTTTATAATTCTGTATATTAAATCTGAATTTATTTTCCCATTTTAAGTTCGTTATATTTCTTTAAAATCAAAATCAATGTCGTTAGTGGAAATTACGCATCATGACGAAGTTATCTATAGAATACTCGATAAGCCCCCACCGGAACCACCGAAGACACCTCGGTAAATCAATATATTACCAAAATGAATAATAAGCAAAATAATGCAGAAAACATGCAAATAAACTTCATCAATTTGTAATATGACTATTAAGCTATATGTTACTCGTATCTTTGTTATACTAAATGAGTAAAAAGTTACGTTCTAGAATAAGTGTAAGTAATTAACAGAAAGAAAACTACTCAAACGCGTTCATTTATAGGTATGAATCAAAACTGGAAAGAGAGCTCAAAGAAACTAAGATTCCTCAAAGAAGACGTACTTTTGGTTACGCTGAAACGCCTTTGAAGCCGCCAGATCAATTTCTAAAAAAAGGCGAAGGAATCGGTCAGCCACCTAAAAAATCGGACCACAAGTGCATCATCGGCAACCTACCAGCGGTGCCTAGATGTCCGCCTCCAGAAAAGGCTAAGGAAAAGCCTAAAGTCAATATTAGAGTACGGAATATGAAAGCAGTTTTAAAAGCAAAACCGCGACCAGTTGAACCAAGGTAAAAACTATTTTAAACTAGGTGTACCTAGTTTAAAACACAGTTCACACAACTACACAATTCTACAAAACAAAACCAATTAAATTTTATACCCTGTTCGCATCATACTAAAATGTCGGTTACTTAAGCATTATTTTCATATTTTCCTAATATTATACTTAGGTTAGTGGACACGAGAGATGGTCATATAAAGAAAATTAAAGGTTCTGGTGAAGTTCCGGAGTACTGTCTCAGACCGGATTTCGGGCAGATGCCCGAATACCTCGTGAAAAGAAATAGAAAGATTCAGAGGAGATTAGAAAAAATAAGGTTAGCCGAAGAAAACAAAGAAAGCCTCTGTAAGCTCATCAACGAACAGGAGCGACAAAAACTTTTAGATGTAAGTTGAAAATTTACTGATTACATCTGTCATGATTGTCGTAGGTCTAAGGTCCGCCTAAGGTCATCCACTGCTTAAAGTAGGCCTCCCTCATCAATTTTCCTAATACCCAATCCTGTACGAACCTTATCCAGCTAACTTGATCAGGTCATCGGTTTATGTTGAGGGAGGAACATACCACTTACTAATTCTGCAGTACATTTTGTGTTGATAACACGGCCTCTAATGGGGGAAGTGAAATCAATACTTCGATTAAAATTATGCCATAGACAAGGTAGAACATTACAATAGCTCTGGCATTGTATGTAAAAATTAGTTTTTTGAAACTGGTTTCGATCTTTATTACAAATTATAGAAAACTGTCGTCTTCTTTTAGGATCTGAAGCAAAATTGGCAATTAATGCAAAAAGCTTTCCTACAATTGCCAATGCTCACGGACACGATACCAAAAATTGTCAGGAAAACTAAAATGGAACAAGAACTACGACAATTGGAGAAGGATATCGCTTTAGTTGAATCAAATCCTTACATCTACATATATGAATAATTGATTCATCTAAATTGTTTCCTTATTGCGTTATCTAATGATTTTTTGCCTTTTTCCTTCTGGAATAATTGTTTTTATTTATTAAAGAATTGTTATTACACCTTTTTATCATTAAAACATATTGATGCATTTAAAATTATAGAAAAGAGCATTTTATATTCCTGCAGGAGACATGTAACTAGGCAGTAATTACGTCAGATAAAACGTAAATATTTCGTAGTGTTTACTAAAATTATGGAATCAAAGAAAATACAATATTTGGCAATCCAAAATGTTTATTTCGATAAAAGACTTACAATTGTCGCAAAAATATGAAATTTGAAAGTAGAACTACAATCTATTCTTAGCTTAATTGACTAGAAAACTACTGAATTCAATAGAAATGAACATTATGATGAAATCTATTGCTTTTTACAATTGACCTGAGCATTAAGTCCCTACGCATGAGCGATTACGAACAGCGGCATTTCTCACGCTTAATTCTGACAAGAGAATAGACAACTTCCAACAACTGCATGGCAACACATTGCTGTGTATGTAACAACCAAACGAAAAACTGTTTGTTTGCTGTCTGCATACGGTCTATGCATAGGAACTTTTCGCGTCAACAAACATAGAGCCGTTGTATTACCAATCATACGTTTGATGGACAATTCTCTTGCTTCTTAGTTACTTTTCTGAGGTAGAAAACACATTAAATTTCGTTGTCCTTGGTTGCAAAAAAATGCACTGTTGTTTTGATGAATTTTTATTGCTAACATAATAACGTATTCATGTTTTTGAATTAAAAATAGAAATCTTGAGAAAACTGAACTAAGAGCTAATCACTATATCTAAGATAATGATATTTTGAGCAGAATCAACCTTAAATCTAACTGGCAATACTGTCTAAATTCTTAGCTGTTTCAATATAAGCTTAATACTGAGTTATCCTAAAACTAGTAAAAATAACTACTAGATTGGCCATAATATAAAAAGTACTAATGTACTGCAACTTTCTCAGAATTGTAGTCGAACCTGGATAGACGAGAAACTCTTTTGAGCGAGTCCTCGGTCAGTCGCACGACCGTCATATGCGCTTGGTAAAAGTTGCGTCCCTTGGACTCTCCCTTATCCAGGTCTGACTGTATTAGTTAACAGAGTCTAGAAAAAGATAGTTAAAATATACAAATTCAATGTATTGCTTTTTTTACTTGACCCTTTAGACTTTTACACTTAAGTATGCAATATTGTAAATTCTACAATGAATTTTAATATACATAAGTAAAGCCGGCTATACACATTGAATTTAGATAAAATTGAAAACTGTACAGCTTGACAGTTGCAATGTCCTGTTTAGAAAAAACTGTGCTGTTAAACAGAAGGTGTGTAGCTGGCTTTACCACTCATTGCATCATATAAAAATATTCCTTTGATACTAAATTACGATAAAAATAATTTTCATTTACTTTAATGACAAGTTTGGATTACCTTTAATTAGAAAAGTTAATCTACTTTAAACAGGAAGAAATATTTATTCTACAAATTGAATAACGATTAAAGATTATTTGGAAGTGAATCACTAATTATATTTAAATGTAACGAACGTGCAGACAAATTCAAATTGCAAGAAGAATCTAAACTATTATTATATAATCTAATGCGTACAAGTAAATATTATTACTAAAAGTAAAGCGTCCTAAAATACTTATCATTGATTCATAAATACGAAGGCCTTATAATGAGGTATCTTTTGTAAGAAAATTCTTTGTCTCTAAGGTAAACTACGGAATTTGCAAGAATGTTGCACTACCGCCGAATAACATTAGCAAAATTGTAAAATTGGCTTATATCAATTCAAATTTGTAGATTAAAAACTATAACAATAAACAATAGAGTTAATACTAAATATAATAAATTATATCAAAAGGGAGTTAATTGGGCATAATTAACTAACATTTGGCACAAAATAATAATTGGTTGGGTTTCCACTGCGGTACAAAATGTTATTGTTATCTCTTTTGTTCAACATATTGAGAGGGTTGACTATATGTTGTACAAATTTTTAGTCAATAGAAATCCACAGTGTCATGTAACAATAACTAACAAAATGCCTATTTCTATACTCGTTTAAAATATCAATAGTGAAAATTTCAAAAACTACTACAATTTTTTTTAAAAATTTATATCAGAAACACGGTATTAATGAAGAATAAGACTTTTTTAAAAATTTAAATGCAGTTCAAGTAAATAGATAAATTGAAAAATCGTTGTCGTGTGTTTACATATATCGCTGTTACGTAACGCTTAATAAAAATAACTCCAAAATAAATATTTAACATATATGTATATACTAACGCATGTAAATGGAATGTACATTATTTATATTAAAGGTTACAACGCTTTTATCATATCTGGACACAACGGTCTCAAAACGCCTAATTTGCGACTTGATAATTGCGCCTGAAGATAGACAATTGCCTTCTAATAATAACACGATTTTAATGTTTGTTCAAAACGAATTAAGCTATTTTAAGTAAAGAATTAACAAATATTGGCTTCTGTAGGAAGACTTTGTCAAATAATCAATAAATACTACTGTTGGTTTTACCAATACTTTTTGTAAGCATTGGATTAAATAAGGTTTTCGAACAAAAAGATACAATAAAACAAAAACATAACTTCACAAAAATATAACGTAACATATTTTAACTTCTTTCTTCGCAATCCTGATGGTGTTTTTATTTTAAATGGCGCTGAAAATAATTTTATGTCAATATCAAAAATAAAATAAAAACGACATAATATTTCTCCACAACATTAAAGGAAAGACAGGTTCCAGAACTTTGTTAAATGAGATTCCTTGATCTGTGCCATCTTCTTTGATTTACAATCGATATTTTTTATTGCAATTTCCAAATATATTGTGATATTATATTAAAATATTGAATAGTAAAACATAATACTTACATCTTAGCTGATTTTTTAGCTAATTTTTGATAAATCGAACCAGTTGCAATATCAGCTGGCCCCTTCGCGAGGTCGGCTGGTCCTCGAGCAAGATTAAACTTTTTTTCGCATTTCTCTGGACCTTCAGGATTGATTGTCCTGCCTTTTCTTAGTTCCGGGTTCGGTCCATTCCACGTCATGTAATCTTCCCTGCAATAAGTTGGTTACTTTAATTTAATTAAAACAAGAATTACTATGATACATTATTTTATATATTCATTTTAATCTGTATTCAAAAGATTACAATATTTCTTATTAGAATATTTTGTTAAGAAATACTTACAAAAGTAGACTATCCTTCGGTCCTTGTCGTAGTGATGGGTTAGGACCATTATTTGCCATACGGTAGTGCGATTTATATTTAGGCTCCACACTTGTACTCGTCTTTAATATTGGTCTGAAATATAAATCAAAATAAATTAATTACCAAAATAAAAGTTTCTATAAGCATGAGTATCTATTGTCACTAAAATCAATTTGAAACTTCTGTTGAGCCTAATGTTGTCCTAAAAGTTTGCTAAACTAAGATATTTTTAGTTTACAACTATGATATAATTAAATGCAGGTACTAAGTGCTAAGGGATTCAAACGATAATCATTAACGATGCTAAAGAAACAATGGTTATGATAATGACTAATGAAATCTATGTTGACTGTAACATCTAACATACGTCACTATTTTTCGTATTAACTAATATTTTCAAACATCTGTCAAAATAGGGAAATACTAGTAACCACTACCTAACCTAATCACTCCAAGATAAAATCATTTACAAATATCTAGTAAACAAAGTATGGATTATATTTACCGATAATTGTCATGGTGCTGCTGAAAATTTATATAACACAAAAATACGAGTAAAGCCTCTTCAGCCACACAATAACTAGCACATTTGAAGAAACAGACACATCAATTTACCGTGGGTTTCTGAGAACAAGAATTTCCGTTTAAAACATAACTTTTTTCTGCATTTCAAAGAAAATAGCAGGGATGATGTTTTACAAGGGTTTTGGTCTCAGAAACCAACAGTTTGAGCGGTGTAGGTAAAATTTTACACTTTATTCATTACTCGAAGTTAAAATGTCTAATTTGAAAGAGATATTACTACTATTAAGCAACATAGAACTGTCAATCAAAATCCATGCTAAATATAACATCGAATGCACACTTATTCAATAAAATTTACTTCTTTTTTTCTAAGTATAATATTTAAATCCGTGTTTTCCTCATATTTTAAAAACTACAATTACCACACAAACATAAAAACTATATAATTCACAATAAGACTACAAAACCCGACTGAAAGTTCAGATAAACGTTCACAAGCAGTGTTCCCAACACAAACGGTGCAAAAGGTTAAATTCTGCTATTATAAAGCAGTCGTAATGGTTTCAAAAGACACGATTAGTTAGAAATTTATATCAACCATTGTTAAGACATTGCAATATTGATTTAGCAGAATTTTTGTCCGGAGTCAACAGGTAGAAACGGAGACACGTAAGCATGCAAGACGTACTTTAAATGCTCGGTCCATATCTTGATGCGACGCGAGGTGGGCGCGGGGGGCGGCCGGCTCGGCGGCTGCTCCACACTGCCGCTCACACTGGCCGCACCCAGGTTATGTGTGAGGTGACAACGATACGGATACGATTGATGGCATTAATTTAGACTTTAATACTTTCATGCCACTACCAATTGTTTTATAAGACAAGGGAGTTGGTGGCATTGAATGTGTTAACAGAAAAATAGATACAGAAAATCGATTGTATGTTTGCATTTAAGATTATGCGAAATTGTTGTAATAAACTCTAATATGACAAATCACAAGTCACTGTTGAGTACAATGATACATTTTTTATTTAATAAGTTTTAACTATTTGCCTCGATTACCCAAAAAATCTAACTTGATCTATGATTTTGCTCATCAATTCCGTCCGTTTATATATTTATGAAATGATAAACACATAAAGATTGATGGTCGTCATTTAACATGAACACTATTGTATATTACAGAAACCATCAATATTCATGTATTTTTATAGTGTGAGAAGCTAAGAAGCTACTGGGTATTAGGTTTATGTAGTAAGCATCAGGAATTATGACCAGCAAACCTTAACCTGAGCATTATTTGATACTACCGAAAATCGAAGTGTTGTATTACTCTTGTAATAGGAAGTTAGTTATGTTACTTTGAATAGATAAACTACAAGTCAAAATACATCTTCTGATAGACATAATAAGCTATATAAGTGTATGAATATCATGAGAATGAGTTTCTTAAAGATAAATATTGACAAATAAATACCATTGCCGTAGTTTTCCAAGTCTTGTTGTTTTTTTTAATCTCATTTAATACCATAAGCTTTTGCTTTGATAAAAGATTGAATTATTAGAATTTATCTTAATATCCTACTTTCTTTTACCGTTATCTATAAACCTTTATTTACAGATTAAAACTGTTCTTTAAAAAAGTTAGGTCATAAAAGATTTTAAGTCTTAAGTTTCATTAAAATTGTAAGAAGTTTAGAAGATTTTTAAATATAAATTAATAATTTTTTTTATAAAGAACTTACCCTTTGGTGAATTCTTCAGGCCCAGGGCGACGTGTTTCTTTTATTTCAACATTCTTAGTAACTTTGGGTGCTTCTTCTTCTTGTACCACAGCATTTAATATTTGTTCGGCTCTTTCTTCATTAAAATCAACACTTTCCAAAGCTATTGATATTACCCTTTCTGCTACTGTTTTAAATTTTTTTTGTAGCTTTTGCTTTACTGAAAACAAGAGTCAGATAAGAAAATTTACTTACAAATAAAATAAAATAATTAATATTAATATTTAATTTCTTAAAATATTTCAAACAAGGTAAATAAATTAATATTTTTGATAAAAATTACAGCATATACTGACTTTACCTAACAATATGTCTAACTTACATTGTATTTTTTCTTCTGATGTTTTCATTATAGTAACAACTTTCTTTACAGGTTGTGGTGTTTCTTTGTCTTTTTTCTTCTGTATCGAAGTGTCTTTCTTAGTAAAACCCATACCAATAAGTTCCTCGCTTGCCTTTTGCACATTGTCATCTTTATTTGCTAATATATCCAGAATTAATGTCTCTTCAGCTTTAGGAAAAATACTTTTAAGGTACCTGTAAATAATATTAATTTTATTTTCAACCCTTCAAAAAGAATAATATCTGTTAGTTGACTAGCTTTAGTAGATGGATACATACTTCAGTTTCATTTTAGGTGATTGATGTTTTGTTTGGCCGTCAACTGCCTTTGCCATGCCGAAATAGCTTGATGCCCCTGAAGCCGGTCTAAGTAGCAAGGGAGAACCTGAAATGTAAATAACACTAGGTAAGAATGTGTTCACAGATTACATAAAAGACAACATGATCAAGAAGAGAGTGCCAGAAAACATTAATATGGAAGGTTAAACTTGTTGCTCCAATCCTTCATGAGGGGGATAAAATCAGGAAAATGATGATAATCATGATGATAAGGTGTACAGGGGAAGAAACTTATAAATTGCAATATGGTTTAATTACCCTTTCTTGCATATTATATTCCACACAATCCCAACATGTTTTCTTTGGTCCTTGTTAACATGTTAATTTACATATTATACTAACAACATATGATGCTTACCTTGTGGTGTTCCAGTAAGAGGCGTCAAATGACTAGACCCATGCATAGATGATCCTCCTTTTGCAAGTTGCATGGCGGAGTAAACACCAACAGCACCTTTCTGGAGACGTGCCATTGAAGGTGACATGCTTAGAGGACCAGGTGTTGTTATAGGATGCTTTTCAACTTGCAATGCACTTATTACTACTGCTTCTCGGTTGTAGTATCTGAATAATTAAGGTACATGAAAGCTCTAACACTTTACATTCCAAATACATATTAAAAAGAAAATCAAACTTACTTTTTTAACAAAATTTTTATGTGCGTCTCACTGACAGTTGGAAACATGGCACTTATTTTGGCGACTAAAGCATCAGTGTCAGATGTAATAGTCAGAGAATCTTGGAATTTGTCATTCAGGTGAGAGATATGGCCTGGAATCGGACTGCCCCGAGGTGTGAGGCATAGTGCCCGACCAAGGATAGGACTCTCAGTTGGTGTAATAAGTACTTTGCAATCCTGAAATTTTTTTTTAATTCATTAGATAATTAGACAATCAATATTAACATGAAAAATAAGTTATAATTAATTACTGAACTTACACGATGAGGTTTAAGTCCTTTTGGGTGGAACATCTTTGGACTGGTCTGTGCTGTAAAAGCATGTTGTAGGCGAATAGGAGAGGGATAAGGATGTACATGATACGGAGAACCGTGTGTTGGCTGTATGTCCCAATGGTACAGACATGTAGAAATAAACCAAACTGTAAACAAGTAACAATGCTACACACATCGATATCCTTTGCTGATATTAAAAGTTGTATTTTTATTCTTTATTTATTCTTCATCACACAGTAGTCTCTAGCTAACAATTTGTTAAAATGCCTTGTATTAACATTTGTAGTCTTCCAATTTTGTAATGCATCTATCATCTTATATCTAAAAAAAAATTGAACAAAGCTTACCTGAGGATGTATACAATCTAATGTAATATGATGAGCACCATTCTGTATAGATTTGTATTTAGAACGTATATCTTCCATTGTAAATGAATAATATTACAAACAAAGTAAATGTCAATACTTCGCAACAACGTCTTTGCAATTTGTACTTCAAACTGACAAGCTTTTTTTTCGTAGGTAAGCAATGAGAAACAAAGCCGTTCATCAACTGCGCAAGTCAATATTTCTGGAAGATCAATATTAATGAATAAATGTAGTCGAAAAAAGCAATGTGGTCATAAACCATTAAAACTTATAAAAGTAAATAAACCTATAAAGTTAAAAGAGTCTCTGGCGTAACCGATTAATATCAGATTTAAAAATTTAAATTACAAAATTTGTAATTTTGTCAAAGAAGGAAATAGATTTATTTGAGAGCAAGAAAAGGGAGCGATAAAATATAAAAACATAAATAACAATTATATAATTATTACAGGTATTATAATTAGGTATAGCGAAGAGAGTCCATGCTATACAACACAATGTTAACAGTTTAATGGTTCTTTTATAATTTAAATATATTTCTTGATTTAAAAAAATATTTTATTTAAGTAGAAGGTTTTTATATTTTTAAAGCCTTCTGTTGGAAAATACTAAAACCAAGAAGATATGTGTGATAACCCCGTACCACTAATCTATACATAAGAATACAATTGTTTTAATTACAATTATTAATAATTTTTGCAAATTAGTATACAATGTACAAGTTCTGCTAGATGGAAACCTCACCACCTGCACCGCTCAGTCGGTGTCAAAAATCAAATAAGCACAAAATAAAACGGCTTCTAGCCTGGCCATGTATATAGCGATCCAAGACCATAATAATTACGTCTATGGATATAATTATAACTTGATCGCATTTAAAATTTAATCTATGCTCTATTTTTCTGATGCCTAAAATATTTGGATATTAAAATTCAATTATTTTTAAATAATAAAACATTACCAATTTTTTTTTCGTGCAATTTCATAGAAATACATATTATGTTACAATTTTTCTACTTATATTTCAATTAGGACTGCATTTGTTTTTAAATGCGCTATTCGAATTTTCCGCCATTACGTACTTCAATGTTTTCATATCATTTTCTTCATTGTGTCGGACAAAGCCTGTGGGAATTTTTGTGTGATTTTTGTTCATGTCAGTGTCCAAAATACGATCCCTACGAGAGGGGGTTTTTCACGAAGGCCGGAAGAAAGCAATGGCACAGAATAGGACTTCGGACAACGTCGTTATGCCGGACATTACCGAAGTATCCGAAGACGATCCTCTGGCGACGGACACCGAGCGCGAATCCGATCGTACTGATGGCGGTACTGTTTTGGCAAGTGAAATCAAGACTGCTCGCCTTTCTAGTGATTCAAATGGTGTCATTACTGTGCCAGTGTCTTTGCCAGTCGGCACACTCATAACAGGAACTACATTTAACGTAATTACGTCGGATCAGCTACCTCATTTCAAGCCTATGTTATGTGTGGACAACGGTTTCATTTCTGGCGGTCCTGTCACCGAAGATATAAAAGCGACACATATTGTCATACAAAATTCGCCACCGCCGTCAGGCAGGGAGCAATCAAACGAGGACGCTAGTTCTAGTTCTACGCCACCATCGCGGGCAGCTAATGCTCGTACGTGGACAGAAACGGCGTTGATGCCAGTTCTACCAGTGCGCTGCAAAAATACATCAGCTGAACTACATAAACATAGATTCGGATCTGGAGGACGCGGGCGATGTATCAAATATGGCATGAAGTGGTTAACTCCAAGTGAATTCGAAGCAATGTGTGGGCGCGCGTCAAGTAAAGATTGGAAGAGGTCAATAAGGTTCGGTGGAAGGAGTATTCAAGCTTTAATTGACGAAGGTATTTTGGCACCTCATGCAACAAGTTGCACCTGTGGAGCCTGCTGTGATGATCAATCAGGTACTAATTAATTTGTATTTGCTTCTTCATTAGTTGATATATTTGTTTTTGAATCAATTTCCCTCAAAACTGAAATACTTTGGAATGAATCAGTTGAACAATAATGAGTACTGATTTCATTTTTACTGTTTTCTTGTGTATTTGTTTCAATAAGATAATAGTATCTTATATGGTAGGAGGCGTATGCCAGGCTATATATTTAATCCATGTTGCCTGTAGCCTACTTTAATAATAGGTTTGAGTAGTGATTGTTGTTCTTTTGAGGCCACACTTTGTAATACAAAATGTCATACAGTCTACTGATGTAATAATAAAAATTATGTTTATGAATTTCAGCAATGGGACCTGTACGTCTTTTCACTCCATATAAAAGAAAAAGGAGAAATCAAGAACCAGAAGAGAAGAAAAAGCCAAAGCGTGAAAGTGTTCTTGCAGAGAGTGATGTGGACAGTATCCATCAGACAAGCAACAACAGTCATTCTAAAGAGGCTTGGCAGACTATAACAGATGGCTTGGAATCTAGTAATGAATACCATATCATGGAGAATCCTGAAACAAAGCCTGATCCAACATTAAATAGTGAAAAGAGTAAGTATTTAAAATTTTATTACATTTTCTTTAACAAATGTTATTAGAGTAATATGTATGTTATAGTGGTGGCATAAAGAACTTTTTATTCAAAATGGACTCTCAATCAATCGGCCCAATAATTTTTAGAGCAAAAAATGGTTAAATATTCCTTTAAAACAATGAAGGAATTGAAAAGAACATAAGTAGAGGATTTAAAGTCCTATCCATCCCAATGTTTTTTATACAAACTAAATTGCTGAGACTTTTATAAAAAGACATCGATTTTATTATCAGTTATTTCATAAAACTTAATGTGTTACAGAACTGACTTACTTGCAACTTTTGTAACATAAATATGCAGGGTGAAAGAATATACATAATAAATATTAATGGTTTGAATAATCTACTTAATCTGAACAAAATTAATAAACATCAAATTGAAAATCAAATTATTATAGTTTTATAATTTGATTTTCATTAACATTGTCTTCGCATCTATAGTCTATACTTACTTTTGGGAATACTAAAAAACCAGATGTATTTTCATACATTCTTGTATTAGATAGTACTGCTAGATTTAAATATAACTTATACATTTTTAAGGAAACCAATAATATAGATAATTAATTGTGTCATATTGGAATTAATACAATATTGAATTAGCCGTTCCACTGAGGGTTATGTCTGATGTGCAGTTTAATCAATTGTTTTCATCAAAGCAATCTGGTTATCTGGTGTATATCACAGATGGTGCATCTTTGAGTTCTCCAGTGAAAATAGTCATAATAAGAACATAGAGACTTTCTCTATGTTATGTTTGTGTTTATGCACTTAGTAATGTACATTCTAAAATCAGTCTATCAGCTTGAAGAGTAAAAGTAACAGAGTATGAAGTAAATCGCTGGTTTACAACCTTTATGTTAATTGTAATAAATACTATTACTTAACTTATTCTACAAAGTATTGAGCTTAGCGCAAGTGAGATATAAAAATAAGTGTTGCAGTCATTTTTTCTTTATTTTTGTGTACACCTGGCTAGGCGAATGAATTTAGAAATCTTATGATATAACAGGAAGTTATCTATAAAAACAATGCTGAGCATACTCAGTATGAGTATCTAAAAATATCATGTTACCTTTACATTGTATTGTTAGATAGTATTACCTAGCACTATTAGATAGATAGTAATAATTATTTTATTTCATACATGTCTTATGACAGTTGATATAAACGTTAGAATAAAACACTGTTTCATTTATACATTATATCTTACTAGCTGTAGCACGCGACTCCGTCCGCTCGGAATCTTAATAAGTAGATTATTTTCAACATCTGTGCCAAATTTCATAAAGATCCGTTAAGCCATTGCATCTAGACTTACACCTTTATAATATTAGTAAGATGTAACGCAATGCCTTGCCAAGCCCGTTCTGCCAAAGCGAAAGCCAAAGACAAGCCAAGCCAAGTTAAGGCAACACTTATCTTAACCTACTGACACGTAGTGGCATGCTAAGGCACGCCATGCCATGTCGAAACTGTTCTATGCCTCCGCGCGACTGCTATGGCAAAAATCCTGCTGTGCTGCAGCAGCGCCTTCTATGCCAGTAACGCCATGCGATCATTATTGTAAACTATCTTGTAAGTATTACACTTGCAAGATAATTTACATTGTAGCTCAGTAATAAAGACCAATAAATGATGTATTTTATCCAAAGCGGATATGTTTTTCAATTTTGGTACTCGAGAATATTAGGTTATAAAAGCAGAGCGAAGTTGTTTGATAACAGATCTTTATGAAGTAAACCATCGAAACTTTAGTGTTGTTTTAACATGTGTTAAAGGATAAGGGATCGCTTTGCCATTTATTTCATTATTATGTCTACATAAGTTTAAAAATAATGCACTCGCATACATGATATAAACATTCAAAATGTTGACTTTCTAAACACATCGTTTAACAAGCTTCAAACATGTGTTTTTGCTAGCCTTAGCACTGCCGACAAATGTAAACATTCTTTTTATAAATAGCTCAATAATTGTTACCATGTCTGTTCGCACTGACTACAAACATGTATTGGCAATGCGAATGTGTACTTATATACACCAGTTTAAACTGGTGGTGCGCAAATGCCATGCCATTTCTTAAATAGCAATTAAATGTGTATTGAATAACCAGTTTATTGTTATGAATGCTAGCCTTTGTGACATTTTAAAATAAAAGAAGTAAATTTGTGTAAACAGTTACCTAGTTCTGGGCTACTTAAGTAAATCAAGTGATTTTCAATTTTCCCACAAAACTAATCACAACAGTGTTTTGTTGGTGAATAAACAACTATTAAACTTCATTGTGTGATGAATTTCAAATCTTTAAAGTTCTATCGCAAGAAAAAAGGTTGAGAATCACTTAGTTCAAGTCTTACTCGAGGTGTTAACACCTTTTCCATCAGGCTTACTTAAGATTTCAAATCATTCCTACACCATCTTCACTAAAGGTATAGACTAAAGATGCTGACATTTAAATCATCAAATGGCGTATAAGTTAATATGTGGTTATACAAAATATTGTATTTGCAGAAGCACATTTTTACTGAAGCAAGTTTGACGTAAATGAATGAACCTTACGTTTAAAGGAATCGTTCGTATCACATATAATAATTAATAAGTCAATTAATTTCAGTCATATATATACGTTTTTGTTTGCTGGCAGATTTACCGGCAAGAAACGACATCCTTCGCGATCAAGCGGCTAACCAATCATTACAAACAGCTTCGCGAAAAATTAAAAATAAAAGCTACAATGGAAAACCAGAAGACTATAATATAATATCTGGTTAATATTTATAAATCTATCTTCCTAGGCGGTTTTTTTATTTTGTTTTTTTTTTAATTTTTTATTTTGACGCTCTAAATGTTTTTCTGATTAATTGATTTGCAACGTTTTTCTATTTGCCAACAAATTAGTTTAGAAAGTCCTGCTTTTATCTGCTTCTGTAAACAATTTCAATGTGTTCATTTTATGTGTGTTTCTGTAGATGTCGCTGTACCACTTTATGTTTGCGATTAAATAGGCTGTAGTAGAAATCTTACGTTTTTGTTTTGGCGCTGACAATCTCATAGCGGATGGTAGTTTCTTTGAAATAGCAGCTTACCGTGTTTTATATTATTTATCATTTATATTTTTATTTATTTTAAAATTAAATGCAACAATCCACAAATTTGCAGTTCGTCATATCAGATTTCCATACATGCATACTTTGACGCGTACATGAGTAAAGATTAATTATATCCAATGTGATTTTGTCTTTGCTCAATATGTAACGAACATTAAACATATAAAATTGTTATTCACATTTGTTAACATGGAAAATACATCGTAAATTAATATTGTCTTTGATAGTAACAGACGAAATCGAACGAAATTGTTGCATTTTAATTTTATACATACACAAAATTAATTTCTTTGTAGTTTTACTTTATCAATTATTAAAGATTTTTTTTTTTACACCTACAGGTTTGCCTGATTTGAGTTCAGTTCTTAAACGTTTAGAAGATATTGGTCAGTCGCTAGTCAGGGTTGCAAATGAATTAAAACAGTGTGTAGATGATGTTAGAATCATTAGTACTAGACAATTGGAGAGATTGGAACAAGAGAGAACATCCGCAATTTTATCAGCAGGTGTAGAAGCTGAGGTTGACGTTGAACAGGTGACTCTCCATAACGTTGAAGACACCGTGTCTAAAAAGGTAAGTTGTCTGATCTTTCTAAAAGTTTAGATTCATCTTTCATTCAGTTATTAGTTTAAAGGCAGAGTGTTACACCAGAACACATTTATATTAAAGTCTACAGCTTTGGTTTTATTGTGCGTTTACAGTGCGCGAATTGTAACCGTGAAGCATCAGCAGAGTGTTCATTGTGTAGGCGAACGCCTTACTGTTCGACTTATTGTCAGAAGAAGGATTGGTCATCACATCAGATTGAGTGCCTACGGTCAGTGCCTATACACACTGACAGTAATCAACATCAATCAATTATGTTTATTGTTGAAAGTCAGCATCAATAGCAGAGGTTCGTATTATACATTGCTATTTATATATATTTTTTCACTAAGGCCGAGCACACACGATGCGGTTTTAACCCCAGCCGGATGCGGCGGTGGCGCCGTAGCTTGGGGGCGGCTGGTGCGGGCGGCGCGACTTTAGTTGACTGTCAATTGGCGCAAGTCTCCCGGCATTCGACAGGTGAAGCTTCCTGGCGACATCCGGTGCTGCGGACGGGATAAATCTACCGTTTCCTGAGTTTTGAAAATTAACAACTGTGCAGCCGCCACATCCGGACACGGCTACAAACCGGACCGTTTATGCTTAGCCTAAGCTATATGTATTTAGTATTATATTTATAAACAAATTATTATCAATTTCAGGCTGTCCTGAATCTTAAGCAGCAGTTACCCAAAGGAATAATTTAGTATGCTAGACCAAAGTGTAATATAATATACCCAAAAGAGAGTAGTTTTGTTGTCATAGTATTAGATTTAATTTTATATTCCAATTATTGGGACCTAGTAGTTAATCTTTATAAAATTTTAATGAAATGTATTTATGGATTAATTATGATTATGATTTTTTTTTTAATTTTGCTCAAGTGTGCTGTTATTAGAAATATAGTTTGCTTTGTAATATTTTGCATTGTACAGTTTGAGTTTAAAATATGTTTAGTATTTGTATAAATTAATTTAAAACTATTATTCATATATTTATATTTATTTTTTATTAATATGTAAAAATTATACTGTTTTTGTTTATGTTACGATAATAACATACATTTGGTGACTTATCATAATACCTTGGCATAACAAAAAGCCAATTTGATTAAAGGTATTAAAATAAACAAAATTAACTGGGATTGTAGATTTAACTATCAGAATCATATGTTATTCAACAAAAAAATGAATTATTTTTTGTTTTTAACTTCAACACACAGTAGCTGAAACACTTTACATATTCTTTTTTTTTTGGTTGTGGTAAATTGTATGTTTTAAATTGGGTGTTAACTATTATATATTGTTCCTAATAATGTCTAGATATTAAGATAAATGGCTAATCTGGAACTTAAGTGATTTATGTAACATTTTTGGCTAAATCCGTCTATTAGCATCTTTTATTATGAATATGATAAATCAATCCGGGCTATATCTATTTATTCTATCTATTTAACTACCTTACAAATGTTTAATATCAATATAACATAAATTCATAAGTACATAATGTCTTCAAACGCGTTTTGCTTGTTATCAGTAAATGTTTATTTTGTATCAAATGCCACTTTAGTTCCAGTTTAGCCAAATATCCCATTAATAGTTATGACTGCAACACGTACCAAAATAAGAAAAAATAATTTATAATCTGTAATGTCAGTATTTTTAACTGATTGTTGAAATATTAATGATTAAGAAGCTTAGCTTAAAAGTGGCAAATAATATGATTCGAATTCATAAAAAAAATTTTGATAGTAACATGGTACTGTGGATTTGTTTGTATTTTAAGTTAAATTTAAGATTGTTAGTATTCCATAAAATTTGGTGCCTTTAAACGTATTGTGCAGTATTAATATAGATTTTTATAATTAACTTGGAATGTGACCAAACACTTAATACAAACATTTGGTAATTGAATACATTCCATTAATATCTTAATTATTATAAAATTATGATATTCGACCTGAAGTATATCAAAATGTTTAATTGTGAAATAATATTGATTTTGTTTACTTTAATATTTGTTAATAAGGTTTAATTTATGTATTGCACTCGATGTTTGTAAAAAATTGAACAGTCGACTTCAAACAGATCTGTCTGTATATTAAAATCCAAATTATAATAGTAATTAACAAATATTCAATTGGAAAAATTCAATTCCTGTTATAAATTCCAATGAATATATCTAACAAAATATGAGTATTGAAATTAACATTTTACATCTTAGTATTGCAAAAACATATTGTAAAAATAAAAGATCATATACAGAGTGCCCCAAAAGGTTACGTACATGGGAAGGGGGATGATAGGGGTGGTCACAAGGGTCACCAGAAAAATAAAATAAAAATTTCCCTCTGGGTATTAAAAAAATTAATGGCATTTTTTAAAAACTTAATTTTTATTTTCTTAATATTAATTTACTTTGAAATCTTTGTTAGTTGTATTGTTTTTTATTTCATATTGAAAAAGAAATTCATTTTTTAAATATAGCAATATTTGTAGGTCATCGGTTACAAAATTGCCCCAGAAGGTGTAAAATTTTCAACTTTTTAAAAAATGCCATTTATTTTTTTTTAATACCCAGAGGAGAATTTTTATTTTATTTTTCTGGTGACCCTTGTGACCACCCCTATCATCCCCCTTCCTATGTACGTAACCTTTTGGTTCACCCTGTATGTCATCCATGATCTCATTCAAAATCATTACTTTATATCTGCTTACAAAAATAGCCTTACAATTTATTAGTAGAACATTTAGATCCGTGTTAACTATGAAACTGGTTACAGAATGTATTGTGATAGCACAAAACTTATTGCCCTTCAATGTGTTGTAATAATCTTATCATTAATATAATATTTGTAATAAAATAATCATTGCTTTCCACTTGCAAGATAACATATGTTTGTAGAAGGTACATGTTAGGCGTTACATTTGGAATTTAATCGGATGAGCAAAGAGTGTTTACATTCCTTTTAAAATCAGGCAATACTCTTGAACCTTAAATAACAGCGAGTCATTACACAATTGCGATCGTTTTTGCATATTTAATCCTTGTTTAACTGTTGGTTGAAATGACAAAATATCAATTATGTAGTTGCTAAATTAATTATAATTAAATGCGAGCTTTGAACACATTGATATGGGCTTAATTCATAATGTAACACCTAACGTGTACTCTCTTTTATATTCCTATAGTAAAATGTGTGTGTGTTGTATAATGATTATCACCAGGATGGATTTATTATGATGAAATAGAATTCAACATTCCAAGTGAATTGCGAATTGTTATTCTAAGGCAATCACAATTTAAGTTGAAGTATTATTAAGATTTTAATATTAAGAACAGTGACGGTTAAAATTTGCAATGGTATTGTTCGTTAAAACGTATAAACGCACAAAGTTAGCACTTAAGTTTTATATAAAAGGCCTTTAGAAGTACAAATTTAGCGCCTATTGTAATCATATCATTACTTTTCACTGTCGAATCATCTGTAGTTAAATATATCGTTGTCCCTTTCATTTACTTTAAAATAATAGAGATAATATGTTTTTGTATCGGTGTTTCGACAGTTGAAACTCATGGATAGTCATCCAAAACAGCTTGACAACATTCGATGACTTACATTATGTGTTAATTTACACTGGGTGCCGAATTTTTGATACAGTAGATACAATTCTACCTTTTATCCGCCTTATATTAATACGAAAAGTGGTTAATTACCTATAACTGTAAGAGTTTTGTAAGTCATTTTGTAGATTTATATATGATACCATGTTGTGGTTTAATTCTTACATTCATCATTAAATCAGACGATAGCTTGTAGGACGGTTTTTGTCCGCTTTGTTTGTAGAATGTAGGTTGATGATAGGTAAAAAAAATGCCTTTAAGTGATAAAAATCATGGCTTTTTATAATAATTAACACTGCCAAAAAGTGTAATACATTTTTCATAATGCCTAATATTTAATATCATTAAAACTCGCTCTAGTATTAATGACGCATATCTTTTAAAATTCACATATCTAGTTCTCATTATAATAAGTACAAGTATTAAAAGATTCAAACTTTATGGCAGATCATAGTTAGCTGTAAACGCTTGTCTTCATATATAAGTGTCACTGCGGGTTGAAGAAAGTATGCGCAGAGGTGTGCACAGACCACCCCTTCACGTTCAATTGTAAATGTTATGTTCTGCGTCGCTGCGCAAAAAGCTTCAGCAGAAGGGTTCGTTCACAATGACTAGGGCGCAGAGGAGAGCAAATTTTTATCTCAAATAAAATAGAACTTTATACGATTGTATAAGGATTTAATTTTACATTTCACGTCTTTTTTATAAAGAACAATTGTAATTCGCGTGGATCCGTCCGGCTCCGAGTGGATCCCCTTTAAACACTGCTCTTCTAGTCAGTCTATGCGAAATTATTTGGTCGGCTCCAATCCGTGCCGTGCCGTCCCGTCCCGTCTGACGCTCTACGCCTCGGTCTTTGTTAACGAACCCCTAAACGCTTTGTCCTTTCGAGACTTCTTATGTGAATATGCTAGCAGCTGAAAAGTTACTTAGCACTGGAAACGTTTGAAAGTAGATATAAAATGTTATTTTCAAGTCAAGTTGTATAACATGAAGCCCAAATATGAAAAATACTGGACTAATTGTACTTTGCATAACAAGCAACCACGTCGTGTTCTAAATTAAAGTATTAAAATTAAAAGTGTTTAAAAAAAAGCAATATTATATAACATCAAAAATCAAACATATAATTTTTTAATTATTTTACATATATTATTATTTTATAATTGTAATGAAATGGTTTTATTGATATTTCATGTACATAATATAATTCATAAAATGTATATTTTTTACTGTGTATAACATTTTAATGAACACTTAGATATAGGTATTAATAATGTTAGTTGTAATAAAATTAGCCAAATTTATTATGTATCAGATCTGTGCGAACCAAATATCATTTTTGTATTATAATTATTTCCTAAAATAATTATTATTTCACTAAAATATACAAGGGACTCGAAAATCCCTAAAAATTTAGGCACAGTCGCATTCCACTACTATTATCTTCCTTATTGTAACATACACACTGTAAATACTTAATATGTTTATTTGATTAGTAGATACGTTCATTTATACACTAGTTTAAAAGCTGCCTAGTGGGGCAGCCAGTGTTGCACAGGATAGTCAGGTCATTTGGTTAACTTGTCTTAGAATGGTGTTGGTACTCCTGAACTTAGCGTAGAAGTAATGTGCTCCGTGTCAGTGCAATACGAAGTGAATTACTTGTGTGAGTTTGCATACACATCACGGATGCGTTCTACTGCATATAAATTATAGTTCCTCTGAGTTGGCTTTATTTCTTGATATTGAGTTGATTTTTTCATCCAATAAGTCTCTGGATATTCATTCCTTTTATTTCAAATTTGGATATAAGTTTTTTTTTGTTTCACTAAATTTTCCTTTGTACCTGTATTCTATAAAAATAATAACAATAAATAAAAGCGGTTCCCTTTTCTTTAAAATAATAGGTGTGTTATAAATATCGTCAATACATCGTACGTGCTACTGAAAATCAATGTTTTGTTTCCTTGGCCCTCCAATTCTCTATCAAATCCTGTTCCTTTTCCTGTCCTTTACTTGTAATTGCCTAAATCCCAAGGATTTTGACCTTCCCTCATCGAATTTTCGTGTTTTAAGTATCTTGTAACATGACTGCTGTTCCTTATCGGGACAGGCTATTTTTTATTTATTTTTGTGGTTTTTACTGTTTTTTATATGGTCTTAAGGTGCCTTTTCAACTTTTAAGGTTCGTTCCTAACTGCAAATACATATATATCTCGGTCTATTGTCAGAAGAAAATGATCTTCACCCAACTTAAGACTTAAGTTAAAAAAATGTTCTCGTTTTTTTTTCAATAATTCGCTTATTGTGGATCCCAAGCTAAAAAAATCGATGACGGGAGGTCTACAATTAGGTGTGTATCTGGAGTGCTGAAGTTTCCAGTTATTCTTTCATTACGCAATGTTTCATTACTTTCGATTAGATTCTTTGCATCAAACAAACTAATCGATAAGTAGTTCTTGTTACCGCCGATGGATGGCTCTGTTATTAAAAAGCATTTGCGAATGATGTTTTTGCTCTAATTTGGCAAAACATATAGTAATAAATATAGTAAAAGTAGAAACGTGTTTTTATTTGACATATGTGTTAAATTTGCGGTAGAATAAGAAAATAACATTTAAGCATTAAGTTTCAACGGTATAAACACAACTTTAACTTTTGGAACCACTATTTGATAAAGTTATCATACCAAAAGCACCATTGAATGGTTAAAATGACTTTAGCACACCGTCCTTGGTTCGTTATGCGCCGCATATTTAAATGTGTTTTTGAATGTATCTGATATGCAAAATTGAATTGCAAGATTCCGCGAACAAATACATTTCAAGTGAAATAAAAACTTATTAAAAACAATGATGCGAAATGAGTTATTGACCAATAAATTGTAAACATATACCGAAAGTAGTAGTGATATTTATAGTTAGACTTATAACCACTTTGACTTCCATAATATCCTCCACCAGCGTTTAAAGGGTTAAACACGTTTTTAAGTAACAGTGTAGATATATTTTCTAAATTAATTTGAAAGACTTTATCTAAAGTGACATTGGTCTTTTAAGAACTTTTGAAACGATATTTTAGGCGTTTAGAAAATTTTTCTTGTAATCGTTGTAATTTTTTTCTATTATGTGTTTTGTTTTTCTTTTGTATACGTAGGTAAATATTTACGCTAGTCTTGAAATTTTGTACTTTAATAAATAAACTATAAGAGATACATACATTAGGTTACTTTGTATACCTCAATAAGTTCTATTTTATCGTCCCTCAACGCTTAGCAATTAAATTAGTTCATAAGGTTAATTTAAGTTAAATTAATTTACCTCCAAATGTAATTTTGATGTAAAGTAAACTTGTTTATTGTTTAATTTTTTTGTAAACAATAGTGTGTGTTTAATTTCCTTTTTACCCGATTGATTCAGGATGATAATGTTTTACATGGGTATGTATGTATGTTTTTAAGTATGTGAGTTTGTATGCATATCAATTTTATGATGTGACCGCAGACCGAACCGATTTTGACGAAAGAGGTTTCAAGCTATTGGTACTCTTTCTCTGAGTGTCTTGTGGATGATTTGACCAAACTGGAGTAAGTTTTACTAATAATACTACTAATACTAATAAAAATATTTTATACCCGCCGTTAAAAGGTTATGTTGTTGGACTTTGATAACGTGTCAAATGTGACCTATTAAAATGGCCCACCTATAATTTAGTAATTTTAAAGAGTAACTTAAAGAAATGGTTACACATAACATTTACACACACGCATTTTTAATATCAATGTCATCATCATCGTCATATTTAACGTTATACAGGGATGTTAAATGGAAAATTCAAAGATAACACGTAAATATGTTAAAAGATCACATTCTACATTTTAACATGGTGATGTAATGTTAAATTCACAAAGTTCTCAGCATTATTATACTGGAAAGTAACGAGCGAATTAGACTTGGCTAATGTGAAACATTTTATACTAGCGTTTTACTACACAGTGATAAATATGAAATTGCGTAAATGAGCAAAATACGACTTAAGTGATGTCGTGGGTAAAAGGTAGACTCCGAAGCAAACCTATTTTTGTGTTCAGCGGATCTACAGTATCTATAGTACAGATTTATGAGCCATCGTCACCGTTTTATATTGCCTTGAGGTAAGAGTACCTGAATTTCGCCGAATCAAAATCCATTGGGATTTTTAGATACAACACGACGAACTCTTTCAATTCGAATCCCAGTAGTAGCATTCGCAAGACCTCAGCAAATATCTAAGCTGATCACATTTTGTAGTTTCCTTATGATAGAATTAACTTCTCACCGGGAAGAAATCGATTACATGTGGTAATTAAAAGTAAATTTTTCGTCTAATGCTTTTATCTTCTAAATTAACTGCGAGTTTATCTGCAGGACTATTATTATAAATTCGAATGTTTGGATGGATGGATCGAACTTTGTTAGAAGGTATCTCCAGAACGGTTGCATTGATATCGCTTAAATTTGACTTAGATGTAGAACAGTCTGGACGAACAATTAGGCTAATTCATTTTTTTATTCCACGCGGACGGAGTCACTGGCGACAGCTATGTGTATAGACAACATAATGTTTTATTTATAAAAATTTGGGTGTGTTCTATGATAATTAAGGTAATAAGTTACACAACATTTACATATAGGCAAGTATCCAGATAAAAACCTTCATTGACTCACTTTATTTATACTTATAGTGTTAAGATAGATTAGTTTGTCAACTCATTTGACAATACACTAGGCAAGGGTTGATTAAAATCGGCTATAAAAATTTACGATTTTCGATGCTTGTTCTCGTAGAACTTGCAATCGAAAATCTATTGATAATTGTTTTGATTCTCAACATAAATAAAATTTCTTTTTATGCCAACTTTATTCTTCAAAACAATGTAGAAAAATTAAATCTCAAACCAAAAATTGAGATGTTGGGGAACAAATAGAACTGTTTTCAATGTTTTTTTAGTTAATTGCGCGAGACGTAGCCAAATATCTGTAATAAATTCAAAAAGTAATAAAATATACATCAGTAAGTAGTATTTATTTATGTTCGATTAATATTATTACAGGACCGATTCTCAATAGTTCATAGTTGCCTGTAATGCGTGTACAGTCCGACTCTATGACAACCGTCCAAGAAGTACAACATTAATGCTCATACAAAATTAATTCGATATTTTATATACGTCAGTTGTCAAACTAATCTATTTTAAAAAGACACACTATTGTCTAATGCTTCAGATGGAAATGGTATTTCCACGGCTATATTCTGGGTTAAATAAACCATAATCCAATGGTAAAACTTATTTCTATTATCTCATACTAATAACATGAAGGATTTTGTAAATAAAACATTAATTTAACACTGACGCTTTTATTAATTGAATAAAACTTAAAAGCTAGATACAACATTTAGAAGCAATCATAATATAGTAAGTAGTATGGATAGTATACTAGGAAGATATTATAATCTTTATTATAGTATATTGATTATTATACCAAGTAAACATTTAGTTTACTTCAATATATATTTGATTTTTATTAAGCATGCTTACATCTAATAAAATTTAATCATATCTTGGATATCGATTAATTTTACCAACATTTATTTTACAACATCAATATTTTTTGTGAATTGAATTTGGATATTTAGTAAGGACGAATGAAGCATCCGGGGACGCAGGTGTTGCAGACGGCGGAGAGCACGTTGTGGATGCAGCGGCGCAGCATCACGTCCGGCGGCGGCATCTCGTAGTCGAGGCCGAAGTCCATCATCAAGTTCGGCAGCGGGCAGAAGCAAGGCTCCCCATACACGACTGTAACAACACCACATAACAATCTCGATTATTTTGTTCTTATTACTGCTTATCTAAATTATTACATTTATATAAATATTCTTACTCCAGGATTTCTATTTATGTTAAAATTTGTAAATTTTTTATACTCACTGACGCGGTTCTGATAATATCTTGGGGGATGGTACTCTTGGTCGAGAGGCGGAATCACCAGATCGCCCAACGCAATATTGCTATGAAAAAAAAAATAACACATCAATAGAGCAAAAAGCAATTTAAATGTATAAAGGAGTAGTTGATTATAATATTAGTTACTAGTGTTCAGGGGGAGATGGTTCGTTGTTATCGCGCGGCGGGTTCTGACGGTACTGGGGAGGCTGGTAGTTGCGCAACGGATTGCCACTGCGGTGCCTCGGGACGTTGCACGCTCCGCAAATGTTCACGTGTACGTTCATGTGACCCTGAAAAAAATTCAAATTATTTCGTAAACAAAGTTCAAAAACATATGTAAGTAAACATTGCGACTTCAATTTAATGTATATAATATTTTATCTATTTGTATATATAATATACCAATGGTGCGTGACATCTGACGCAATAGCGTTGAGGTGGCGGCAAGAGAGCAATTACGCCGTAAACGTTTGCGGGGAAGAAGACCTGACGAGCATAGTAGCCTTCGTAGTAGGGTCTGAAACAAGTGACAGACAGACATAAATATAAAAGTTAAAATTAATGACTGCTAATTCATTGCAACATAGGTGCTTACGCTCTAGCCATTCGCTCAGCTCCAGGAAAACCTCCGCCCGCAGCACCCGCCTTTTCAGCTCCAATTCCTGCAGCTACGCCGCCCACGGCGCCCTCTTCTTCAGCATCAATTCCTGCAGCTACGCCGCCCACAGCGCCCTCTTCTTCAGCTCCAGCTCCAGCTCCTGCATCTACGCCTCCCACAGCTCCCTCTTCTTCAGTGCCAGCTCCTGCTGCCTCCGCAGTATCTTCTTTAGCAGCGTCGTCCGCGTAAACGGCTTCTTGCGCGCATGCAGCTTCCTCAGCGTATGCAGCTGCCCCAGCGTATCCAGCGCCTTCAGCGCAAGCAGCGTCTTCCCCATTTGCGGCGCCTTCCGGACCTGCAGCGCCTTCCGGGCCCGCAGCGCCGGCGCCATATGCTGCTCCATAAGCATATTCATCTCCGGAAACGCATGGAGCTCCTACACGGCATGCAGGTTCTTCACCACATACTATTATGCCGCTGCATGCACATTGGCTACTGTATAAAGCCCCAGCGCCGCATGCGCCTTCTAAGCAGCAAGAACTTCCGGCGCCGTATGCATTTCCCGCGCCGTATGCGCCACCCGCGCCTCCCGCGCCGTATGCGCCACCCGCGCCTCCCGCGCCGTATGCGCCACCCGAGCCTCCCACGCCGTAAGCGCCACCCGCGCCGTACGCACCACCCGCGCCGTACGCCCCACCCGCGCCGTAGGCTCCTCCAGCGCCGTACGCGCCACCCGCGCCGTACGCGCCACCCACGCCGTATGCACCTCCGGCGGCATAAGCGCCTCCTGCGCCGTATACTCCTGCGCCATAAGCACCATTTGCAGCGTACGCTCCTCCGGCAGCGTACGCCCCTCCTGCTGCATATGCACCTCCCGAGGCATAAGCACCTCCAGCGGCGTATGCACCGGGTCCTCCGTATACAGCTCCAGCGGCATATGCGCCTCGTGCCCCGTATTCACCTCCGAACACACCACCCCCTCTCGGTTGCCCTCCGTATGCTCCTTGAGGGCGAATATCAAACTCAGGGTATTCATCCATCCCCAGACCAGGCATGTTGTTTTGACCTGCAACAAATATTTTATTTCACAATTCATATTAAAATGCATTGTGAAAATAAGCTGTAATTTTTTTAAAGAAACAAGCAATTTATAGAGCTTACTGTTTCGCCGTAAGTCTTAATTTAATTGGGTGTTATTTTTCGAACCACGACGATATTAATGTAACGCCGTCGCTGTCGAGTAAGCTTTAGGAATTCACAGGAATGTTATCCGATACTTTTTTACAAGGTCCTCGGTAGGCGCTTCTGCTAACGCTGTATCAGCTCTTTGGCAGAATTATTCTAATAATATGGTTCTCAGCACGAATATGTTTTAAAACGCTAAGTTACAAGACTTTAGAAAAATTGAAAATGATATTAGGTTGAACAATTTGTATTCCAAATTGTGTATCTTTTAAATCCGCAACGACTAAAGATTCCTATGACCTAAAGTTCAAATACTAGCGTTGTTTTAAAAAAAATGGTTTACGATTATTATAATTATTAAACCTGATTTGTTTGTTAACTATCACACAATAATAAGTAACTGAGATTCAAAGCCTTGTACAGTCAAAGCGCACGTAGTATATTTAGCCATTAAATATTCTAATTTTTAATTTTCATCTGCAACTTCGTACGAGCAGAATAAAAAAAACAGTCAAAATTATTTAATAAATAGTCATTGCTCGCGACTCCAACGGCAGGGAATTAAAAAAACTTAATTAGTAGCCTATGTGTTCTTCCAGGCTGTATCATACATCTGTGCCAAATTTCATTAAGATCCATATATCCGTTCTGGAAATACCTTCTAACAAACATCCATCCATCTAAATATTTGCATTTATGATATTAGATTGATATTATAACAAAAGCGGATTTGCGGACAGATTTTAATTCAACACGACTTTTAAAATCAATACAAATTCATGGTATCTAATTTTTAATCTGCCCCTTTGCAAATTATTTTCAAAGAATCTCTTGAAATTATTCTTAACCAAAGATAACTTGAAAGAGAAGATCGTAATGTTTATTATTTTTATAAATAAGAACTTAATATGTATTCTTCCATTGAACCGTTCCGGAGATACGATCAAACAAACGTCCATCCATCCATCTATCCATCTAAACTGTCGCATTTATAATATTAATAAGATTTATTAAATATGAATCATAAAAGCTTTCAAAGGATAAGTCCTAAGTCTAGCGCCATGTTGTTGCAATTTATTGACAAGTTGGAAGTAGGTTGTAACGCACGCGCTAGAATATTAAATTGCTCTAGGTATAAAAGTAGGTCTAGGACGTAGAAGCAGGACGCTCCGGGACCTGGAAGCGCAACGCGCAAGCGTGGAGAAGCGCAGCTTGTTTGGTACATCGCGTATATATAAATCAATTGATCGGCCGGGCGCGAGCTCAGACTAGACTATACCTAAGTACTTGTATATTGAAATGCGTTCTAGGTATAAGAAAAAATCAATACAGCAGAAAATATAGCTACGCCTTAAACATTATCATTATTCGTACTTACTTACTATACACACATATTTAAAACATTTAAAGTATTTTAACATGACGGAAAAATGTTTAATTGAAACAAATGTGACCGCTAACATGAATAAACAAAAATAGCCCAACAACATCTTCGTTAAGATCAAGGCTGTCTGTAACATTTGGAGGTCACACTGCTGTGATGTGGATATTAAAGTATGTTTTGTTTACGCCCGTTTTGTATCACTACGTTGCCATTTAAACCCCACATTGTGCGCAGTTGTCGCACGTAAAGGTAATGTATTCATATGACATCAACTTTTATAAGTACGTACCGTTGTAGTAGACTGGGCGATCCATGGGCGGTCGAACCGGGTAGAAGCTTGCCATTGGATCCTCGTAGTAGCGGACTTCATTCACTGAGTTGACGGGGCGCAGAGGTACGGGTCTTCGGACGCGGTTGTAGTTGTAGCCATTGCGATCCCGGTCCATCGAGCCATTGGAACCCGACATGCGACGGTTTCGGCTGTTGCTGCGACTATTATTTCGCTCGCTGTACATCCTGCCGCGGTCTGCAACGAAATTTAACTTTAATACTCTTAGCTTATGGTTTAATAAAAAATGTGCAGGTCCCGGTCGGCATCAATACTTTCAAATTGAAATATATCAATATATTTGCACTATTTTAAAATAATAACACTTTAAACGATAAGAATGATTACATACTTGAACAAATAAAAGGATCGATAAATTTATATTCTCAATTAAAAAGCGTCGAGCGCTGCGTCGTGCTCTTCCGCGAATGCAACTGCTGCGCCGGGAGCGGGTACGGGTATGCGCGCGCCTCGATAACAAACAAATGTACACCAACTACTAATATTGCTTTATAGCTGTCTTGGGCTGAGAGGGGTTCTGATTTTATTTAATAATGCGCATTTATTACTGAAATTGTAAACAAGTCGCGTATACTGCACTTCAATTTTTGTTCTCGAAACAAAACATAGCGTCATCTCTCATGATAGATATAAATAGTTTTGTACAGGTGTTTCGGCAAAGGAAACTCCTAGAAACATGTTTTTGTAACCATTGCAACTAAGCTCTAGACTCTAGGCTACGATATTGCCGACGACAATAGTAGAATGGCGGGCGGGATTCGAATCCAAAATTATTTTTTATTATTTTTTTGTTGTTTTAATTATTTTATATTTTATTCGTGAACTTTTACGTTTTAGTTTCATTCAATGCTCTATAAATTGCAAAACAAAGCAATAAGAACGCTAAATGGTGTCAACAGCAACTATATAAAGGAGCGTTCTCGTCCCCTGATAGTTTATACCTCTCCTCTCCATCGCTCAGTTATTTCATTACGGACACTCTTCAAACCGGAATGTAGTAATCTTTTCATACTAATTTGCAGTAGAATCCACGATGGATTATTATTGCACAAGTTTCAGAAGTCCTTTAAACTCGTTAATTGCTAAAACTTTACATCGCATTAAGTTTATCCAAAAAACATCAGGATGTTGAAATTTTAAAGTTAATTCCGGTACAAGTGAAAATCTATTCCTGCGACTCAGTACATCTACGGAAAAACAATAAAAAAAGACAAATCGTACGCAAATAACCTTGATGTTTGACCGTATGGTAATCGCGGACCATTTTTTTTTCTTCTAGAGCTTTGTGGAACGATACGTTGTTCTTGTTTTACAAATTAAATGTCATTAGTCATGATTTTGTAAAATGGTGTTATTTTTCTTTACAAAGCCACCAACACACTTGTGGCTCTTATGTTGTGCATTATTTATGGGCGGTGCAACGCTTGCCCATATCTCACGTTGAATCCTTTTTCAAGCAAATCGCCTTTATATTGGATTTACATACTTCTGTTTTTATACGTGCCAATCTTATGGATGGATTATTGAAGGCAATTTTTTTAAACTTATCTTTCAAGTAGCCGCGCAGTTGGTTTCTTCTCCATAACCTTACAAGATAAAAATTAAATAAAAGATAATGTCAAGTTACATCGTAATTGTACCGCCATCTTGTAATATGTTAAAATTGTTTATACAATGCCATTATGATAAAAAAATAGTTAAACTTTGTTCCTTTAGCTAGGTACAGGCTGCAATTGCACCGTCAACTCCTTTGTTGCAAGCGGCGGCGTATTGAGCCTGCCGACATCTAGTGCGTATTGATTTGTTCCAGTTTCCAGAAAATTATGCTGAAGCATCTATGTCTCGTATATATAGGTTAAAATTCGTCAAAACGGGCTGGGAATATGGTTTTAACGGAAACATAAAAAATAATTATACCTTTTTTTGAAATTTTCAATCCATATGCGTCGGTAATGCAAGTATAAAATTACATAAGAGAAAGAATAAAAATGACATCCCCGTATTCGAATCAAGTCCCCGGGAACAGTAAGAACGTATTCCGATACACTTAGCATATGTATTTCATAATTGTTCTATAACATCAGGATAGCTTATTGTTAGTAACATTTTCTATTAATACATACATTTCTAGTTTTACTAAGTTAAAATAAGCAAATAATAGTTGAAATATGTTAAAATAGAGGACTTAATACGAATTGTAGGAAAATAACTTACCACCCATTATGTTGGCTCGCGAAGGCTGCCTCTCTAAGAGTCCTTTAATTCACTTTTCCGTCCGCAAAATATTTTGCACGAATCACTGCAAAATATCGCACCGCAGTTGTTTGATACCAACAAGGGGATATCTGAATAAATTACATGGGCGCACCGATATAAGCCAGCGACTGAAACGACTGTAAATGTCAACAGGCAATACCGAACTGCTCCCAGGTATTGACCAGGTCACGTTTTAGGGCGCCTAAGTACTAGATACTATTTGAGAACCCCTTATACCCGGCGCGCATGCGTACTGCTCCTACATTGATTTGTGGCAGACCGCCTTTTTTTTTTTAAAACAGACCAATGTAGCGTATGCCTTCTCTGAATTATAATATTAGGTTTATACTTATTGAAAATTATAATTTGATGAATTTGGTAACCATCCTAATATGATGAGATTTATACAAGGCGTTATTTGGTGATATTTTTTTATTGCTTGTAGTTGGTAATGCATTTAAAAATCGATACGCGCGTACAATGTTGCAAGTTTAGAAACTGAAAAATAATTTAAATCTTTGGTAAACACATTTCTGGTTACAAATACTTTTAGGATTAAAAATAAAGATTAAAATAATGGATGAAAATTGGTAAGTATTTTAAGAGAATTTTAATTTTGTACACATTTTAATACAATGTTTGAAAGATAAGGTGTCGCCGCAACTGAAATGTGCGTGTTAGTATACTAAAGCACTATTGAAGTGGTTTTGGAAAAATCTCACACCTTCTTGTTTTCTTTTTGTTTTCACTGCTGAAAAATCTCTATAAAAACATTTAATTCTCTTGTTTTTTCAAAATTAACTTGAGGTATGACACAATGTTTCGTAGCAGTAGCAATGTTGTTAATACGAATATTTACTTATAAATCATTGTTTAAAATTTTGTAACAATCCTATTATAATTAAACCATATCTCAAAATCTTTATGTGAAGTCTCTTTACCTCATTTTCACACTATTTTAGACTATTCTTCACATTTTTACAATAAAATTTCCCTATAGTGTTGCTGTTTTTCCTTTGAAAATAACTTCTCTAATACTTGGGTTCATATTTATAAAATAAGCATTTTAATTCAATTTCTTTTATTCTATTCTGATGTTATAACTATTCATGAAATTTTATTATATTACGGTAGATTATTTTGTAATATGCAAAATGAACTTCGCTAAAAATTTAGTCTATGACACATTGAAGTTTTCCGCGTCGTTCAAGTTATTCAGAGTTATATTGCTTGGAAGCGAATAGGAAAGGGATAGAGTGGTTACATATAATTAAGATATCATATAAATCAGTTTTATTAACAGTTTGCATCTTTTATCTATGAATGAAAACGGAAACTTACTCATTAGACATTTCCATTAATCAAAAAAAGTCACTGTTGTAATAATTGAATTCACTTATATAATGCAAATACAATTTTAAATTATTAATTAGTTAATATTTTTGTACTTATAAATTCGACATACAAAATAACAAACTTTTTTCTTTCTTGTCATAACTAATTTTTTTCATTTCAACATTCTTTATTTTCATGTTACGTTTAAATCTAATCGTCTCACAAGCATTATTTCGTAGCGGCGTCGTAGCGTAAGGAATGTAATACAAAGAAAAATATACAAAGTTTTTAAAAAAATTATACCAATTATACATCCTTAAAATATTACTTACAACTTATATAAAATGTTGTTTTTTAAGCATATTTTATACAATTATTTATAGGTGTATTTTAGCTTTTTAAATTTGTTTTCGTAATTACCTTAAATCTATTTTGAGCTTAAATGCAGTATTATGCAAGGTTATATTTTAATTACCAAAAAAATAACGTTTTGTGTTTTTATTGATCATATTATATTGACTTATCATTAATTATTGGTCGGTTGTTTGCAATAATAACTATCGGTTTGCGTAAGGGCAGGCCACACATAAATAAAATGGTTTTAATTTGAATTTCCGCTCATTCTATTTATAAAAAACCACAATGAAATTTACCTACTCCCACTTAGTTCACCCCGATCGGCTTAACCATTTCAATTAATAAAATGACTCGTAGTTCTTTTTTTTGTAAAAAGTATTGTGTCCATCTTTTTACAGTTTTTTAAATTAATTTTTTTATTAACTTTATAAGTAATCGTTTAGGAAAAAAATAATGACTATTTTTTAAGATATTTTGTCTGGTAGTTAAAAAATAATAGTATATATTATATTATATTATTAAAGTGTTTTATAAAAACTTTTAAATTAGTTGTAATAAGAGTAAAAAAAACATTTTTTTTGTATTTTTTTACCATTGTTTTGTCAATAATTCGAAAAAAGTTGACAATATATGACTGTAATATGTCTTCTGTAAATGTACCTTTAAAATTAAGACTTGTTCTTGGTACGACGATGCACATACTTACTATTGTAGATCACATAAGGTCTTGTTTTGTGGTTTGGCGTATTTTTGTTACCAGCGCTGACTTCAGGTTCTCTGTTACAACGACATATAGAATTTGGTGTAAGTTTACTTGTGTATATTTCTAATTGCGTTTTGTATATTCGTATGTTTATACAAAACGCAATACAGCAAGACAGAAAAATTAGTATGAAATAGATACTAGTGATAAACTTGCTTCAAACTGAGTTGACCCATCAATCCTCTGTATTTCAACTTAATTTCATCCTTTTTTCACAAAAACTTTTTCCTGCAGATTTTTGAAAACCACACTATCGCAGACTTTCACGTAGGTCATGTGCATGACTGTTCATTACCTACATTTTCTCGTTAAATAGCACAATCTTTTGCTAAATAAAAAAAGGTTGTTGTAATTATTTATTTGAATACTTACTCAGTTTTTAAGATCAGTTGCTTAGCAGACACCATTTGCTTCTTGCCATTATAATCGTTGTCACCGCTTTTCTTTGTGGCTCCATCTTGCTGTCCATCACAATTTTGCCGTACCAGACCTTGAATTGCTTGATCTTGCCAACCACCTATTGTTTGTCTTGGGAAACCGCTTATTACTGGCTTTGGTATTGCCATCATGTCATTCACTAAAATAACCCACATTTTATTAATGTAAACCGAATAAAAGCGGTTTATTGCTGCTTATAAAAAACATACTACAAAGTGTAATAATTGGGACACCTCTGTATAACGAACCTTTGATGTATAACAGCTATGCTGCAAACGTGTCAAGTTAGTATAATACCAAGTGTTAGTAAGAGGGTAGCCTATCTAGAATGTAGTAATGTCGCGTTATCATTGAACTTGAACACAAAAATATGAAAATCAACAACAAGAACATTATCATTATAATCGACTTTGTTATTTATACGCATTCGGAAAATACTCCAAGTTACTACTAGACTTTCAAAGTAATTATATATAATAGCTGCCACAAATTGTGTTACGTCCTTAAAATATCAAAGACCTACCTTTTTTTAATTTTATAAAAGAGTTTTAGTTCAATCCAATTTGATAATCTATACGTATTGGTCATTTCGACAATTTAACAGACTGAATTTTAGGAAAATTAACACAAAGGAGTCTTATTTGCCACGTTTATCAACAATGTTGAAGGTTTAAAACCTATCAGTCAAATTGTAACACCATGACGCTATTTACATCTTAGGATATGGGGTATTTTTAGAGATAAAATCCAACTTATAAATGTGAATGTTACAACACGAATAAATTTCATATTTGTTAAAACTTAAGCTATAGAAAAATATCATTTAAGAAAATGTTAAAGAACTTACCTCCTGGAAATGGTTGCGGAATAATAAGATTTTGATTTATATCTTTATTAAAACCTTGAATAGCTTTTTCCTTTAAATTGCAGTGCTCTAGATTCTTCATGAACAATTGACTATGTCCATGGCTGCCGATAGGTAAACGATCAACAGGTAAAGGTGACCACATATTCTTATATTTGTTATCAAATTGCTGTACGGTCCAAATGGTACTTCCGACATTTTGATTTTGTTGCTTGGGTTCGGCTTCTCCTGGGGTCATAGTGTAAAATTGCTGATGTGCGATAGTTCTATATTGCCTAAGCCACTGGGTTGGGTAAAATGTTGAATTTCTTTGACCGGACGCAGCATGGATTGAAGTTAAGCATTTTTGACTGATCTTCGTTTGTATAGAGGTTCCAAATGTTTTAACTGGGTTTACATTTGGATTCATTTGACTGGATCCATTATTTTTTGAAGACGGCCGACCTGTTCCGATTGGCGCTAGTTTCGATAATGGTTGACTGCTCCCGTTTTGAATTAATTTTCGAGGCAGATTTATTAATTGATTTTCAATACATCCATCTATTTTGGAAGTTAATGGATTAGGAAAGAGTGAGTAAACTGGAAATTGTTTAGATTCATTATAAAATTCTAATTGATGATTCATGTTTTCAAACTCGAACTGCGTACGATACACAAATGAATCGGATGTTTGAGAGTTAGTCCTGTAACGAACAAACAGATAGGTGAGTTAGATGGATTTTTGTATGACTTAAGTGTTTAAAGAGGCATAACGTTTTTTTTCAGGGTTACATACCCTCATTGTACGAATGCATGACCATTTATTTATGAATGTCTGTAACCTATTGACCGATTTTTCAGCGTGTCAATTAAATAATAAGTATAAAATGTACGTTCAATATGTCCATTATATTTCCGAGATAAACATATTAATATCTTTATTGATTCTATCGACCCTCAATAATAATATTATCATTGATACCCTATTTAAATTTAATAAAAAAAAATCAAACAGAAGTCCCTCTATTGATAAGTAATTCTAGATAGCCCACCACTATGTTAGTCGACCACTAGGTCGTTGAATCAGCGTAAAGTATTGACGACTGTTTGTTTTGCAAACATAGACTAAATGATATGGTTCTGTAAGGTGAGCCGAGATTGTTTATATGTATAACTAGAAATAAGATACGAACTATTGTAAATGCATCTTTACACTTGGCCAGCTTTAACCCTTAATTCGATAGTGTCCAGTGTGACGAACAACTAAAAAATATAAATCTACTGAACAAAAAAACAATTTTTATGCTACAAAAAATTTCGTCGAATTAAGGGTTAACAATAGAATTATAATTTAACCTATAGTTACTTTAATTTCAACTTTATAGTAATTACTAGATTCAAAGTCAATTATTTTACTTTATGTTTATAAATAATATCAATAACTGTTGTCAATATTATAGTTAATTTCCTCAAAAAAGTTACAACTCACGTCTAAAGCAATTTTAAAATGATTATTATGGCTTATTAAAAACTTCAAAGTGTAATTGAATATAAAATAAGGATAAGGAAGTTATACAAAAGGATAACATCTTAATTTTTTAACAGGCTAAACAACAAGTAACGTAAAAATAATTCATATTGCTTATATTTAAATTAACGCGACGTAAGATAATACTTTAGGTACCTTATATTTTACCGCGCAATTGCAACTGCGTCTTCAGACTTAATCATATAACAGCTTTAATAAACAACGACCATACCCGTAAACACTGATATGAAGAAAATAACAATGTAAGATTTATTACCAACGACGGAGTATTTTTAATGATAAAGAATTGTACTTTGAGACGTTACGTGCGATGTATCGAAGACAAATAAGATGTGAATAAGCTTAGTACCTGGCTCTAATGAAGTGTGAAATAATTACTTGTACGTGATTGGATGATTAGAAGTGGGCGGTAGTAACCTGACAAATATCATAAAACTATGACCATCTTGTTCAAGTAAAAAAATGCTTTGTACTACTAAGTTGAGAATTTAAAGCTTTTTGCTATTTTTAATGTTACTAATATTATAAATACGAATGTTTCAATATATGGATGGATGGATGTTTGAACATATCCCCAGAACGGCTGTATGGCTCTCGCTGAATTACTTGCTCTGTAAAACATAGTCTGGAAGAAAACCTAGGCTCTAATTAAGTGTTAAAACGGAGTCGCCGGCGACACCTATTTGATAATAAAAACACAGAAATTAAAAATAGTTTAAGTGAATAGAAACGGTTTCGAAAAGTTTTCTATTTTATAAATAAAATTTTTATCATTTATTATAATATTTTACATTTATGTATTTATTGTTATGTTTACATTTTGAAATCATACCTTATTTTATGTACCTCGGCAAAGCGCATTTAGATTTATTGCGCAAATTTTCGACACTCGTATTTCAATTAAAACTTACAGAGTATTTCCAGTAAACTCAGAATCGTGGTATGAAACGTTTATAGCACAGATGAATATTAATGATAACTTGCGAAAACCGTAAATTTTATACAACTACAGTTTTGTATGAAAACCTCGATGTGCAAGTACGACTCACACTTGGCCGATTTTTTTGACATATATATGTAATTAGTGACTATAAAATCAAATCCATATAATCCATAAGTGTTTTTGGTACGACTAAGTTTTATATTACCATCGACTTTATATCGCATCAGTTTTGTTATCTTTAGTTTTATAAGTGTTTTTCCTTATACCACTCCCTTACAGTATAAATTTAGATTGACTCGACGACCTTTAATGTAAAATTAAATCTTAATGTTTACGTTAAGCATCTTATACTGCCGGTAGGTATATCTTTGCAAGTGTCAATAAATTTAACTAAATAAAACAATGATATGGATTGTAATGATATATTATTTTAATACAGTTGAATTGGCTTATTATTACAAGACTATTGTCAAACAATAACATAAGAATTTATATATAGATATCCAATAAGATGTCACTCATTTCTTCAAACGGGTCGATATATATTTTACACAAATAAATAAACAAATGCTTCTCCATAAAGTGAAATAGAATTGATAGAATTATTTAATTTTATGCAGTATGAAATAATACGTTTAGGTTTTAAATTACATGTTGAAGACATAAATTAATCAGTGGGACATACACCAACATGGGTATTACGGCCGGCGGCAGTCAAGGGTATTTGAACAGGTGTTTCCCTGATGACGATATTCCTGATGCATCCTGTGAAGCCACGACGGGATCGAACACCGCGCACCTTCGAAATGGGCCGCTCGTGTCCGCCAATGTAAAGCGCAGATCTGGTGTCCGTGGAACCAGACTGGCCCAGACCAGCGTCGGAGAAGTGACCATCTACACCAACGGAGACCACATGCCGTGATTTTACAGCTGGAATCAATTTGTTATCATTAATATTGCTATGAAATATTTTTATATAAAGAGGTATTGTAAGGTGTCCGGCTGATGTTAATAAAAAGTCTAAAGGGTTTTAATGGATGTGGTTAAGAATTTGATGGTAAGGGACTGCTGGGTGAAGATTATAAGAAGGTTTTATTAATATTTACCGTGAATTTTGTGCCAATTTCCATCACATAGTGTGAACTTATTTCCCAGTTTATAACTTGCATGGAAAGGACCTTTTCCGTTCTCAACATTGGCGATAACTTCATTTTCCAATAGCTCGAGGATCATAAAGTCCCGCTTGCCATGTACACTCAATAGCAAGCCGGTGGAATTCCGTGGCTTCACTTCCATTGAGATGGAAATCTCAAAGCCAACTTTGAAGTTTTCGAGGAGCTAGAATTTAAAAAAAAGTAAATATAGTTACTAAAAGTGTCCAAAATAATATGTAATTTCAATTATATTTTCAAGTAATTTAAAATATTGATTAACAGAAATATTTCCAGTTTGGAATCTCTCCGCTCCTTTAATACTTATGCAACAAAATCTTTTTTCTATTGGGTATTGATACATTACTGGAGGATGGTAATTTTAAATATCTTCAGAGTAACATCACTAGAAATGTAAAATTATTGGTATTATTTTAACTTACCTTCAAATAATTACTGTGAACATTATTTGATGGTCCAAAGTAGACGCCAGGTTCAATGCTGTCAGTGCAACGCAGTGAGTTAACACGATACATGATGTCAGTAACATACTGGCCATTCATCATAAGTCCCTTTAGGCATCCTTTGAATGGCTGGTAGAAGTCCTGGTCATAAAAAATATGAATTATTTTACATTTCTCAATTAAAATGCTAATGATATCTTTTCTTTCTCATAATTCTTCAATTTTTTGTCAACAATATACTCAGCAACTTCTCTGGTTGTCATAAATTTTGGTGAGTCATTGCTTATCATTAGTTTTGTTGCTTGTTGTTTGAATTTTCTTAGACTACATTCTAATTGTTAGCTATTGGCTTTCCATAAACACTTTCTTTCCACTGACCATGAAGGTTATAGATAAACTGTTGGACGCACTTAATGTTCTTTTGAAACATAAGAAAGCATATTGAGAATTACAAAAAATACATACCATTAGATTCTGGCGGATACCAGACGACAAATTGCCAAGACCACCATAGTAGAATGGTGGTGTTAAAATAGCTGGTGATATACATGTAACACTGGCTTCACCGATGCGCTCTGAATCAACAGTAAGCTTTCCATGACCTTCCTTCCTGACTAAAGTCACAGTGTGCCATTCCGTCCCATTATATGTTTGTGTTGATTGAACAAAAGCAGTTTCTCCACCACAATTAAATGTGAAATGAAGCTAAAATAAAAAGTTTTATACATTAAATGGCATGCTTTAAAATAAATCTGCTGTTTCCCGCGCCTTCTTGTGAAATTCCGTCTTGACTGGGTAACATTTTAGAGAAACTTATTATAGTTTTATTTTGGATATTCAGTATGCCGTAAATACGCATATTGTCTTTTGATATTTTGTTCTGCTCGTAATAAGCTTAGTCTATTTTTTCGCTTTTGGTAGTACGAAAATCTAAAAAAGTTAATGACCGCAAGTTAATTTTTAATAAGTGTTTTTTGAACAATTTTTCTTTGAAATAATCGCTGTTATTCCTTAATTTATGATGCAAAGAAATTCAATTACATCCAAATGACATGGCTTTATAGAAAAACTTTATTTTATTGTTTACATTCCGTAAAAATTCAGATCATCAAAGATGTTGTGACTTGTGACAATCGGAAAATATAAACAATGTCGTCTTGACAGCTTGTCAGTGTCATTTTCTGACCATCGAGCACAGCAACGAGAAAGAGGATTAATGTTGATCTATTATACTTTTTAGAAAAATTCCATCGGTATCCCTAAAAGTTAGTGGTAGTCCCCGTCATTATTAAAAGTTCTACAATATCCTTGTCGAACTGTACTAATGTCATATAAAAGAAGGTTTGGCGACAAGCAGGCGGCTGACTATAGCCATTACGCCAAAAAAAAAAGGTTTAGAAAATCATGTGCGCCAGGGCCAGGGATGATGATGAATAAATTAATCATAATGGTATGTACCTTCGCGTCTTTCATATATAATGCTAAGAACTGGCCAGGGGCCTTATCAGCCTCGCCGTAGAAAATAAGACCGCCATGTTGATCAAATGTACGGAAGGTGATCGTGAAGTCGAACCCTTCCCGCTGGCGGCCTGGCAACTTGGAATATTCTATGCGACTGTCATTGCGAGTGCCTGCAATAAAAAAGTGTTGATACAAAAAATGTTACAATCATCAGTAAAATAAACCCAAAAGTATGTGCAATGGAAAACATCTTGGAGTATTTCTGCATTCAACATATAATTTAATTAATAGTTCAGCATTATTAATTAACCAACCGAATCTGTATCCTTCCGAAGGGTCACCAAAGCCGTAGTGTGTGTCATAAGCCAGTGCGCACCCGGCTTCTGGCTGGGGCGGAGGTCTACGCGTGGTTGTGGAAGGTCGAACGGTCGTCGTTGTCATTTTGAATGGTGGTCTTGTTGTAGTTGGCGGTGCTGTAGGTGTCGTTGTCTCGATTTCATTTTCTTCAGGATTAACTGTAAAAATAGACAGACATCGTCACAGTACATTAATCACTGATTAGGAATAGCATTTTATTTTTAATAAAAGTGGTCGGCCGAATTTATTGGTTTACCTTTAACAGTTACAACGTCTGGTGCAGGTGTGGCCAATGGCGGCAGGGATGTTGGCGTAGGAAGCACGTCGACCGGTGCTGGTGCCGCCCAGATCAAGCGATCTGAAGTCCATTGGGAAAAAGAAAATTTTAGTTAATAACTATATACGTAAAAAACTTGTGGGTCATCCTGTTATGTTACATTACTACTGTTTTTATATGTAGTTACTTGATAGAAGAATATGATAGTCAAAATCGATCTGACATCCGAATATTATTAAAAGTAACATTTCCAAAAGAAAAAAAAACTAGTTTATTTATCTTGTTAGCGCTCGGATGTGGTTAAAAAGTAATTTACCTGGGGGCACGCCACCTGTTGTGGTTGTGGTGCCACATCTGCCAAATATGACGCTGTTATTGCTGAAGGGTTCAAGCAGGTTAAGCATCCTGCCATTTATTGTAGCGTCAGCTATGCAACCTTGGAACGGTGCTTTTGACCCCACTTTGCCTCCGACTACGTATCCAGGTTGTACGCCGCCCACAAACAACACTCCATCTAGTATGTGCAGTGGTGCTGGCGCTGTGTCAGTACTGAGAAGACAATGGAAGGATAATAACGTTAACAGTTGAATAATATGACTTTGACTGAAGCATGCACACTTGAGAGCGCAGTGTAAATTGTTCTCCCACAAAATGAAGT